ACAACGTTTTTAATTCTAGGGACGCAAAATTTGCACCAACTCTAGCATTTATACATGTAACTGTCTTTATCCCTCCTCGAGCAAAGGAGTTACAGAGCAAGTGAGTTACACGTGCAAACCAAGGAATGGAATGAGAAGCAGTGCTCAGGTGGTTAGTGTAAAATTCACCCTGCCTGGAGAAGGTTTGCTACAATTCTTTCTGTCCCCCAGAAATAAAAATAATTCAACGTGTCCTTCTCTCTGCTGCTTTGCAGCTCAGCCACACTGCCTATCACTTTCAAGTGCTTGCTGGAGAATAACCATGTGGACAGGAGGATTGCGAGGTTCGTGCTGCCTGTGGGAGCCACCATCAACATGGATGGGACAGCGCTCTACGAGGCAGTGGCTGCCATCTTTATTGCGCAAGTAAACAACTATGAGCTGGACTTTGGGCAGATTATTACTATAAGGTATAAACCTCAAATTTTTTTATTATTATTGATGTTTAAAATACTATTTTAAATGTCAGAATTTTTTTCAACTTTAACTCTTCTTTGCATCTTTACATGAGAGGAAAAGGTTAAAACTCCATAAAACTAGAAGTCCTATATCAGATTACAGGGAATAGTGTGTGTTAGGAAGCTCTTTGTCAAACCCTGGAGGAGTAAAGGAACAGGGAAGGAGGACAGATGCTACTATCAGGGCAGGTTTTCATGAAAATGTCATATCCCTCAGATATTTTTAAAATGTCTTCTCTGCTGCTTGATAAAGCAGAAAACTTCATAAACAGCCATGTTCTCAGTGGGTAGAGAGTGCTATAGCTGCATACTCCGTCCTTGAAAGGCCTGTAATGGATCCAAAAGCCTAGAAGATCCAGCTGAACAATTACTGCCAGAATAACTCCAGTGACTGCCAAAGAATGCCTCAGGGACTGAAACCTGCAGGTTTCCAGCAGGGAACAAATGATTAGAAAAACATTCCTCATAGTCAGAGCCTTGTGCAACATATTTGAGATCTGCTTACCTACCCACCCTGTGACCTCATCACTGCCCTGTTTATACTTCTGAGCCTTACCCATGTTCTGCTGGACTTCAAAACCTTCATGACAAGAGGAAGAGAGTCTTGAAACTCACCCCAGATGACAGCTGGGATTTGCTAATGGGCTTCTGGCAAGATCTGGTTAGACTAGAAGTAAAAGAAAGAAATTGTGCCCATACAAGCTCTTGCTTCAGGCTGGCTGTCTCTATCTGAAAATTATTGGAATGACCCTGTGCTAAAATTTAGTCTTTTGTGATTTTGATTTTGGGAATGTTTTCGAATGTGGTCCCAAAATACGGCCCAGAGCATGGGCAGACATTACATACATTGAAACAGAGACCGGTGATTTGGAAAAATTAAGCAGAAGAGTGATGGTAAATGGATACTAGGTAAGTTCCAACTTTCTCTCAGCAGAATCCCGTTTTATCTGTTTATTTTCACTGCCCATATTAAGTGCTAGTACATAAGAACCAGACAAAAGTAAAGACAGTAGAAAGAAAATACAAATGAAGATTGGAAAAATCCAAGAAAGGAAAAGAAATAAAAAGATTGACTGACTTACAAAAGAAGGGATTAAATAGGAAATCACAGTGGATTCAGTACCTGGAATACCTGAAGCCAAATTCTAACTGTATTCTATGCTCTGAACCTGCCTCAGATCTTGATACTTTAAGATCTGGAGATTTGAAATGCAAATATTTCTGAGTGCCAGGATATTTTTACCAGAGGGGAAAAAATGTTAGAAAAATAATCAGTCTACTTTGCACATAATTTATAAAATCCAGCTTGACAGTTTATGTCAGTGTGATTATGCAAACCTAGATGTAAAAGAAAAAAAGAGTAAAGATCCTGTTCCCATCAGTTGACCATAAGAAACATCTACATTAAAGTAAAAAAACCCAACGGAATAGCAGCTTTCCTGTAAAATCTTAGTTAAAGATTCCTATTTTTGCTCCCAGTTGAGTTATGAGACTTTGTGGCCTGAACTGTCTTAGGAGGCAGAAGCAGTTCTACTCAGCTAGCCAGTTTAGAGCACTAACTGGAGAACTTTTTAATGTTCATTATATTTATCTCCTATTCAACTACTGAGCTTCTGTCCCTTCCTTTCTGTCTATACACTGCCTGTTACAATGCTATTAGGATACTATACAAGGTAACTTTTTTCCAAATGCAATTTTAAATCTTTCTTGTTCCCCATCACACCCGTGTGCAAATGTATTTTTTTTATTGCAGGAAAGGCCTCTAGTTATAAATACCAATGCTGTTCTACCGGTACACTGTACAGTTGTGTGCAGGATACTGTATATCTCTGGGACTCAGCTTCCATATGGGTGAACACTGTTACCCTCATTTTCCATCATAGGAGGCTGATGAGACTTCACTGCTTGCCAAAAGCTCTGAAATTTTGGATTGATGAATGCAGTGGATTATCAGTGTATATGCTTTATGTCATCCTTTTACAATTGTCAACAATCATTTTTTGCCTTTCCGCTGGATGGCCTAGCTCTTGGAAGTGGCCAGATGGGCGGAAATGAATATATACAGTCACTTTTGCTCCTGGAAAAAGGAATAAAATTCCTCCCCTAAAAATAGCATTATGAAAAAAATATTAAGCCTGCCAGGTCCACGCTTGCCCTGGTCTCCCATTCATTTCTGCTTGCCTGGCTGAAAAAATGGTGTGAAGGTCAAGTAAAAATACTTTCCAGAAACTGAAGAGGTACAGTCACATTCATGCTTGCTTCCTATTTAGATCCAAGTATGCAAAGCCATGTGCTATGCAAGGACTTCACCCTTGGCCCAGCCTCTTTACCCTTTGCCTAGCCTCTTTGTAATGGATTGACATTAAAGGCCCTAGCTGCAGCCAGCCGCGGATTTGCCTGGCACAGGAACTGCCAGTGATGGCTCAGAGATGTCTGCTGGGAGCTCTGCTGCCAAGGGTGAAGCAGTGATGAGGTGTGCTGGCAGATTCGTGCCACACAGCTCTGTGTGGTGCCATGAACAACAAGAAGCTGACATAACTCAGAGAAGCTCACAGCCTGGCTGCCTCTCTTTTTCTGCACTTGTGATACTAAGAGATAACAGAACTGTCCCACCAGCGCCAAGGCTGCAAAGGCAGAGGATGAGTATTTAGCACTGGGCAGACAGTTTGGTCTGTTCTTGCTCTCTGACCTGGCTTCTGTCCACAAAACACTGGCAGTTCTGTGCAGTGGCTTGTGTAAGAAGGATTACGGTTTAGGAAAGCTCCTGTAGAAACATGGTGTGGTTTCTTGCAGAGCAGCCCATCACTGGTAAAGCTGATTCCTTTCTTTCTTTGTTAAAGTATCACAGCCACAGCTGCCAGCATAGGTGCTGCAGGTATCCCGCAAGCTGGCCTGGTTACAATGGTCATTGTTCTGACCTCGGTTGGACTCCCAACAGATGACATCACGTTGATTATTGCCGTCGACTGGGCACTGTAAGTAACATTAAACTTTTGAGGTTTCCAGTATGGCAACATTGCTAAAAAGGCAATGGTCTCTAAGGGTATAGTAATACAAATATACATAAAAGCATGGAAAGTAATTATTTTGCTTGAAATGGTGCTAATGTGGCCTCGGATTAACCACTCTGCTAAAGTAGGCATTATATTTAAAAAATATATGGACAAATAAGAGAGAGTCTAGATGACACTTGGACAATATGACCTAGATGGAAAGGCCGAAGAAGCTGAGTTCATTTAGTCCAAAACCAGAGCAGGCTGAAACACATCACCAGAGCAGTTTCTGATATAGATAAGATTGTCCTAAAGAGGACAGTGAGCAATTGCTCTTCATGTTCACAGGGAGGGAGGATGAAGAAGAAAACCAAAGCCACTACCTTAAGTCAGATGACTGGAAAACTTAAGAATAGTTTTTATCTAGGAGAACAGTCAGGCAATGGAAGTGGCTGCACCTAGCCAGGCTGGAGGATGACCTTCGTGAGAAGTTTTAAGGTGAGGCCAGACAAACGTCCATCAGGTGCAACTGTGGCACCTAGGAAACATGGTTTGCCTGCACGCTGCTTATCAGCCCACTGACACTTCAAGGACATCATCTCAGTGTAGTGGAGCACTCTGCAAAGAGGCATTAGCCAGCGTGAGTACTCCTGCAGCACAGATGCCACTATCAGTGACGGTTTGTGCTGTGCGGAGCTACTGCTGCTGTAATCAGAGCCATGATATACCTGCCACGCACTGTGTTAGGACTAACAATATCTTCCTTTTGTCACAGATCTTGATGCAATTTTGCTCT